TTTTTTTTCTGTCGAAATCGAATCCAGAATACGTAACACTATTCCAGTTTTGTAAGAGCAAGTGACCGATACTGGAGTTGGACAGCGTTTGGTTTGAAAATTAGCACCACGGTGTAAACAAGCTCTCAGAAATTTTGAAAGATATTAGGTCCGCCGCTGGTCTTTCGCGTATCGAAGTAAATCATCCCATAAGGGCGACAGCCATAATTTCGTCGGCAAATGCTGGCCTCCCAAATCGAGCCAACATCATGGCAATATCCGGTGACCGCAGTGAGTCCAGCCTTGATAGTTACTACTACGTACCTTCTGTACGGCAACTTCGCAAATGTAGTAACATTCTCACAAAAGCAATTTCTTCAACTCAACAAAACAGGGCTCCATTCAGTAAGATATTTAATTCATGAACAGTTGGAAACATCCTGGTATACAACCCATGAGCCACGAGTGAGGGATTCCTTTTCTTTTTAAATAAAGAACATCATCCGTATGATGCACGATCCTCGCAGTAGAGAGCGCGTATCGTGCATAATACGTATCTAATACCGCAGTTCAAAGTATATGAACTTCATATATTCATTGTAACCAAAGAACATCGTCTTTCGCATACAGCGGAGAAAAAGGTATTTTTTTCTTTTTCTATTTCATGTTTCAGGTAAAGGTTTAAGAAAGTTTGGGGTTAGATGATGATGATAGCCTTTATTTTAAAATGATGAGTTTTAAAGGTACTTGAGCTTGTGGGGCCGTTTGCAATTAACAAATCACTAAATGTACTTAAAACTAAAACCTAGGGGTACGAAGAGAACGTCTAAACTTAAATCAGCGGTGCTTTCGAATGTGGAAGAGTAAACATAAATTGAAATAAATACAAAGTCATCTTTTTTAAAATTACAAGTGGATGCAGACGTTATCATAAAACTGAATTCAATAAAATTAACTAGAGATTTAAGCTTTAGCCTGAGGTCACGATATGAAATATTTTTTGTCAGGGCACTACATTTGTTGGTCACTGCGTTCCACAGGACCGAGCCTCTAACCGCGACAGTCTTTCATGTAGCGCGTGTTGAAGCGTGGAACAATTAAGGAAGCGCAAGCCCGAGTTTAATAATTTGAGGCCCGTTTCTTAAAATTCAGATCGATTAGTATGGCAGGTAACCTGTCGTGGAGAGCTTTATGAAAACAGATAAAAATGTCTGATTTATAATAAATAGACAGAGTCGGCCATTGG